CACATGTACAGAATTTTACATTCTCTGTTATTGTTTTTTAGTTTTTTTGTGGGCACTGGGAATCTAACTCAGGACCTCACATTTGCCAAGCAGATGCTGTGCCACTGAGCTATATCCCCAGCCCCTAGAATTTTAGTTTTGAAAGATGAAGAGGTTCTGAAGATCGGCTGCACGACAGTGGGAATATACTTAATACTGCTAAACTGTACACCTAAAAATGGTTGTGAAACCAGACATGGTGGCACAAGCCCATGATCCCAGCACTCAGGAAGCTGAGGCAGAAGGATTGCCGTAAGTTCCAGGTCCACCTGAGTAATATAGTGAGTTCAAGGCCAGCCTTGGCTGCACAGTGCGACCTGTTTCAACTCTCCCTCAAAGGTTATGGACAAATATCTTCAGACATTTTTTCATATAGATATGTATATGCACACTTAAGAATTACAACATCCTGTGTCTTTTACACCTAACATATGAACCAAATATCTTTCTACTATATATAGCTCCCACTTAATTCTTTTTTTAATGGTTGAAGTATCTATCAGATGGCTGTACTATAATTTAACCAGTCTGTTTTCAGTTTTTCAACATCATAAAATCATCAGTCTATCTTTGCATACTTTTTCATCACATCTTATTACAGAGACTAATTTTTACCTCTCCCTTTTGGTATCAATATTCTAATTTCCCTACAGAAAAACTACCTCCTCTTTAACCAAATACCCATCCTGTCTTCTCACTCTCCATTTTGGGCCCTTTTTAGTCAAGGTGGCAAAGCTTGGCATATTTATTTTTAAGTTCATTTCTAAGTGTTTTTCACAGTGTTATTGTCATTTTTCCTACAATTACATTCTCTATTATTGCTTGCATAAAGAGGGAGGGAAAGAGCAAATAAAAAGAATTAAGATGTGTTATGTTCAGGTGCCAACTCCCCATGATGAATACAATCACCACGTACTACAAACATGTATTAATTTAAAAAATTTTAAGACAGTTACTGCTTTTTGGAGTGGAAGGGCCTAACTCCATGGTACGACACATGCTTAGCATGCTTAAGACCTCCCAGCGCCAAAAAAAAGAGAGGGGAGGAGAGAAGGGAAAGGCGGCAGCTGTGACTGGGGGAGGAGGGAAGAGGAGAAGGAAGCAGCCATTGCTTTTTCTGTCTCACAGCTGCTTGTTCACTTAACCTTACCTGTAAATACTTTAAACTCGGTTTGCTTGCATTTTCTCAGCATATAATCACATCATAGATAGAAAATTATATCTTCTAGGTAGTGATTAAGTCTAAAAGCTCTGGGCTCAGACAATCAAAATATAGGATTCATACAGTTTGAGTAAATATTTTTACCTTTTTTCCTAATCCCTAATCCATCACCTGGACAGAACAGGCATATCAGGGCCTATAACATATTTACTGGTTCAATAAACAATTGCTATCTTCCAGTAATAAATGTTTTGTTGTTGTTGTTGTTGTTTTGATACAGTATCTCTTTACATAGCCCAGGCTGGCCTCAAACTCATGGCAATCATCGTGCCTCAGCCTCCCACATACAGGGATGTGCCATTATTTCCAGCATCTGCCAGCAATGAAAATGTGACTTGTTGTGTCACTAAATTGCCTAGGCTAGGCTTGAGCTTTGCAATCCTCCTGCCTCGGCCTCCTCTAGTGCTGGGATTACAAGACTGGGCCACCGTACCTGGCTGAAAATGTAACTTCACACGAATATACCTTTTGTTGCATTAGAGTGGCTTTGTTGGCAGTTACTTCTGTCCCTACTCCTCCTAAAGGCAGAAGCCAGCAGTCTGTTACAGGACCCGTGCTGTGAAGCCGATCCACTCCCACCCTCTCAGGAAAGTTGTGTGATCAATTTTCCCTTCAGCTGCCGTGTCTTCTTAGCCTTTACACTGGCTTCATGCCCACAGCATCTGCGCTCTCTCCCAGGCTTTCTTCCTCAATTGCTCTCCATCTTTTCCCTCCCTCCCTTCACAGCCAAACATCTTTGAGAGCGGCCTACACTTTGTCTTTCTCACATCCCACACTTACCTCATCCCACTGATACATTACACTGAACCTTTGGAAGCTGCCGATATTATAGATTCCGCCTCCACCTTTTCCCCAGATCTGCTCAATGAGGTCCCTAGTGACCTCTCTTATTTATTCAGAGGACACATTTTAAATCTAACTTAGCTCACTTGACATCTCAGCAGCATCTAGCAAAGCCGACCTCTTCCCTTGTCTTTTTTGACTACACTCCCCTGGATTCCCTCCTACTTCTTGGGCCATTTCTTGGGGATAGCCTAAGCGGATAGCTCTGCCAAGAATGTGCCGTGTAGTAGCCTGAATTATCTCGGCCTTTGAAAAAATTCTCTCTGGATGGCTGTCTTTCAGCATCAATCTCTAAATTCTCATTTTAGTGGATTTTCATCTGCATGATATACACTAATTTTGAATGTGTTTGGAATAGGACCCCCTTATCATTTTTCCCAGATTCAACTGACCCCCTCTGCTCCCTCAGGACATTCTATCAACACCTTCCCTGAACCTCCAAATGTGGCTGGATTCACCTTAACGTGAGTCTCCTTTCACAACTCTCACCATACTTTAAACCACTTGTTTGAGGCATGCTTTCTTCACTGTATGTCCTTAAGGAACCAATTTTCTTTATTACAGTGCCTGGTACATAAAGATATTTGCTATTGTGTGGATACAGTTTGAGTACATCTTTTTATGTGCCCTTTTCCTCCCCTAAAAGTTTACCTTTTGAAACTCGGTCTCCACTATAAGATACACAGAGGGTAAAGACTTTACCGGAATACGGCATTTGGGATGAGATCAGTATTATATAAAGTCATCAGCATGGAATACTCATGGACTAGATACTGGTGGCCTGTTTGTTCGTTTGTTTTACGGCACTGGAGATTGAACCTAGGGCCTTTACAATGAACTACCTTCTGCACCTTTTTTTTGTTTTGAGACAGGGCCTCACTAATCACTAAGCTGCCCATGTTGGGCTCAAACTTGTGAACTTCCTGCCTCAGCTTCCCACAGTGCTAGAATTACAGGCTTACACTCCTACACCTGGCCTTGAATACTCGTCCTTTGAGCCAGCCACGGTGGCCCACACCTGTAATCTCACGGACTCTGCAGGCTGAGGCAAGAGGATCCTAAATTGTCTCACATGTGTGAGACTCTGGGTACATCCCCCAGTACTGCAGAAGGAAAGAGAAAGAGGAGGAGGAAGAAAAGAAAGAGAAAGAAGGAAGAGGCAGAGACCAGAAAAGACACACTTGTGCTACCCATGTGCTGCCATGTGATGATCTAAGGCACATTAAGTCTGCTAATAAGAACACTGTCAGGCCTGGACCCTGGAATCTCTAATACCGTGAGCTAAATAAATCTTGTTTCTCTATAAAGTTGCTCAGCTTCAGATATTTTATTATAAGAATGAAAAATGATCTAAAACAATATTCAATTCAATAACTATTTTTAAAATTACCATAAATGAATGACTACAAAGTTAAAAAGTAAATGGGAGGAGGGATGCAACTAGGGAAGAATAACAAAAACATCTGATCTTTCGGAAACCACACACACACACCTCTTGATTAAAACCCTTGAGAGCATAATGTGAAGTGAAATAAATCAGACATACAAGCTTAAGCATCATATGGTTTCTCTTACATGAGAAACTCAATTATAAATACAGAACGAACTAAGATAGATAATAGGAAATAAAGAGAGAGATCCTTCTCAAATGGGGAGGAGATAAAAAGATGAAGGTTAGGGGCTGGGGATTTAGCTCAGCGGCATAAGCACCTGCCTTGCAAGCAGGTGGTCGTGAGTTCGATCCCCGGTACCGATAAAAATGAAAAAGACAAAAAAAAAAAAAAAAAAAAAAGATGAAGGTTAGGGGATACCTTCGTGATACACAGGTATCAACTCCATACAAGGAATGAAAAATTATCTATTAAAAACATATACTAATTTTTCAAAAAAAAAAAGTCTTTGATAGCTTCTCTACCCTCAAAATAAAAGTCCAAACTGACAAAGAAAATCTTTAAGAGGGCCAGCTGCTTAACTCTGAAACATCAATTAGCCAGAGTACCTCCACCTCTCAGAATCTTGTCTCCAACCAACATGAAATCCCCACAGATTTTCAAAGAAGCCTGCTCGCTGTCCTCAGGGCTTTTTTTTGTCTTTGCACACGCTGCTCTCTCTGCCTATACACTGTTCACTTCACCAAGCTCATCTTCTGGCCAATACAAAGGCACCCTTCGTGTTTCATTTTGGAAGTCACCTTCTTTGGAATCTCTGACTATGCTGTCTCTGAAAATCTAGATCAACTGCTCTCTTTATGCATTCACAGACCTCTTTAGGTCCAAAATCATAGTTCAAATCTCAGTAAATTTCTGTTTATGGATCTGACTCCATAAGACGGAGGGCAAAATGTCTCATTCACTTTTTTTCCCCTGGCTATAGCCCAGGCCTTGGCTCATAACAAATGCTCAACGATGTTCCTTGTGATAGTAGCAATAAAACTCCAAAGCATTGGAGACTTATCTGCACAGATTTTAAATATAAATTTACTTTATAATAGCCTTATAATACAGATGCCCACTACTATTCCCATTTTGCTGGTGAGAACACTGACACACAAAGCAGTGAAATCTCTGTGACCTCAGAAGAGTCGCACACGCATACATTTTCTGCAGTTTCGAGTTATTCCCTGACACCCAAATAAGAAGGGCTTTGAAAAAAGAAACTTTTGAATGAGGCCAAGGAAAACACAAAAATACAATCAACAGCCTACAGCACCTTCCACCCAAACCCGGGGCGAGGGCAAAGGGCAAAGGGGACGCCACCCCCGGCGCGCGCGACAGAGGTGACCTGGCCCCTGCGTCCTTCCCTGGGGTCTCCCGCGGCCCAAACCCGCGTCCGCGGCGAAGAATTGACGCCAGTCGGGGCGCATCTGGGCCGCGACTGCCCGTTGGCCCCCGCTCACCTGCAGTCTCACTGACTCGCCTTCTCGCCGTGCCGGGGCAACCGGCGCTCGGCGCCTCCTGGGGGCCGCCTGGCGCCCGCAACTGGCAGCTGAGCCGTTGCCTTGGAGACCTGGGCTGCCGAACTCCCGCGGCGCTCGCGCTACGGCGGCTCGGATGGGACCAGGAGGATTTGCGGTCCCTTCCGCAGCCTGGGAACTGGCGGAGGTGGAGGGAGGGATGGAGTCGGAGTCCTGAGCGCAGAGGGATCTGTTGCTTAGGGTTTGACAGCACTCAACTTGGCTCGGTAAGGGTGGCAAAAGAAGGCCAGCGTGGCCAGCAGGACTTGTGTCTCCTTGTACCTCAGTTCCTCTCTCTCTCTTTTTTTTTTTTTTTTTTTTTTTTTTGTCTTTTTCATTTTTATCGGTACCGGGGATCGAACTCACGACCGCCTGCTTGCAAGGCAGGTGCTTATGCCGCTGAGCTAAACCTCCAGTCCCAGTTCCTCTCTTATAACCCGAGAAAGTTTGGGGAGGAGAAGGCCCTTCAGCCTGAAGACGCTTGCCACAGCGCCAGGCGGAAGTTTGCCATGGCGCGAATGTTCAATGACTGGAAAATCGATGTGCAAGGGTTGGCGGATTCTTCTTATAATCTGGAGTGTTGTGACAGGGAGCCAATAAATTTGTTTCTTTGGGTAAGAATTGGATCACCAGAGTTAATTTCAGTGTGAGAAATAATTTATGATCAATGATTACACTTGTAAGAATAATCTTGCAGGTCTGCTCGAATTTGGCGGCAAAGGTGTTCCTTACCACCGTTTGTAAAAACAAGAGGACTGAGACCAGCCAAAGTGTCCATCAGTAGTGGACCGAGTAAATAAATTATGATACACCTATAGCATAGACTACTGTGACAGGGTCTAGAATAGTTGAGGCTGTAGATACAGGGTTTTGGTTTGGTTTTTTTATTTTTGTTACACTAGGGATTAAACAAAAAGCCTTGACACTGAGCTACATCCCAATACCCGCCCCCCCCCCTTTTGATATCAGAAATCGAACTCAGGACCTCGGGCTTGCCAGGCAGGCGCTGTGCCACTGAGCTATATCCCTGGCTCCCAGCCCTTTTAAAAATTATTTTGAGACAGCTTGCACTAAATTGCCCAGGCTAGACTCCAATTTGCAACCCTTCTGCTTTAGCTTTCCAGAGTGCTGGGATTATAGGCATGTGCCAACATGGGTTGTTGGTACAGTTTAGATATAGTGCTATTTTGAAGCTATGTATATAGCAATGTTACTTTTTTTTATTTTGAAGAGGGTACTGGGTGTAAAACCCAGGGGTACTCTCCAACTGAGCTATATTGCCATCCTTTTAATTTTTTTTTTTACTTTGGGACAGGGTTTCAATAAATTGCCCAGCCCTACTTTTGCTTCTGCTCTTAATCCCAGCAACCGCCCCCTCTGCCTATGAGCACACCCACCAGCAGCCAAAAGTGATCCTTTTTTTTTTCCAGAATGGAAAAAATGTAAATGCAAACCTGGTGTGGTAGCTCATACCCATAATCTCAGCAATTGGGAGGCGGAGGCAGGAGGATCACTGCATATTCAAGACCAGCCTGAAGACCTTGTCTCAAAAAAACAAATAAAACAAAAACAAAAAAGTACAACCAGGAGTGTCAGTTTACATCTATTGACAAGTGTGAGAGTCCCTGTCACATAAAAAATTTTAAAAGAACTGGAGATATAGATCAGCCTTCTTTGGATTGATCCTCAGTACCACAAAATTAATTTTTTAAGTAGAAATACAACTCTGTTCTTCTCAAAGCTTTTCAGTGGCTCTACATTTAAAATTACAGTAAAGTTAGACTTTTCTTTTGTCTTTTTCATTTTTATCGGTACCAGGGATCGAACTCACAACTGCCTGCTTGCAAGGCAGGTGCTTATGCCGCTGAGCTAAATCCCCAGCCCCAAAGTTAGACTTTTTATTGCAGTCAACTGGCCCCTATGTGAAACGCATCTGGGATAGAAATCTAAGTATACTTTTCACCATTTTTCCTTGTGTCTGTGCTTTGACCACACTGGCCTTGAGGTTTGTGTTTTCTTTTCTTTTTGTGTTGCTAAGGCTGAAATCTAGGGTCTCAAGGGGGCAGAAAACCAGTTTGTTCCCTTCCCTGCTTTGTGGTTTTTAAATCCTGGGCACTTTTGCCTCAAGGCCTTCACTTTTGTTGTGAACACTTCCTCCAAATATCCCTATGGACTGTTTTTCTTCTTTCCAGTCTCTGCTCCTCTATCTCATCCCCCGAAGACCTGTCCTCTAGGGTATCCCAACAAATTGGGCTTAGTCACTTGTCCTAAAAAGTAAGTGGAACATGTAATGATGAAGTACTGATATAGGGGAACGAAATTTCTGACCTACTTTATGTCTGGTACAAGTTTGTCTTCTCTAAAATCAAAAAATGAATTTTAGAAACAATGGAGATTAAGAACACAATGTATTTATTGAGGGAAAGAAAGCTTCTATTGGGGCTGGGGATTTAGCTCAGCGGCATAAGCACCTGCCTTGCAAGCAGGCGGTTGTGAGTTCGATCCTTGGTACCGATAAAAATGAAAAAGACGAAAAAAAAAAAAAGAAAGCTTCTATCTGAGAGAAAGACAGATGGGGTCCTGAGTGGGTTGCCAAAGACTCTTGTCTTTTCTAGGGACTTTTATAGAGCAAAACCACAGGGTGAGATGGGTCCAAAATGGGAACTCACAAGGTAGGCATAAAGTAGGACAGAACTATGGTCAACCAATAAGATTAATTGTTCAGGTAAAGTTGGTTAAATTGGGGACAAATGGGGAAAGGAGTCACATACCAAGTAGATGTGCTTAAACAGCACTGACTTCCTGTAGGCAGTTGGGATGGTGATTCCTGGCTTCCTCAAGGTGATTTGTTTGATCTTTTGTCTTGAGGTCTGGCCCACAGTGGGAGGTGTCTGTCTCCCCTACACTTGCTGTAGTCTTCTATGGTCTTCTGCACTGGCTCCCTCAAGGACCTTACCCTGTCTGACTGCCTATAATATGTTTAACTGCCTGTAACAGTACGAAAAGAATTTCATCTGTGTAGCTAAATTGGAAAGAGAAAGGTGACTAGATATCCTTAGTCCTTTCTTAGACGATACTGAGGAGTGTTAGGTTTAAACAGAGAAAAATTGAGGTGGGTTGACAGTTATGCATCTTATTTATACTCTGGGTCAAACTGATCTGGTTGATCATCTAGAGGCAGGATAGGAGAAATAAAAGATAGAAAAGGCAAGCAAATAACTAAAAAGTGTACTTTACAGAAGACTGCAACTTATGGGTCTTAGCCAGTGTAATCAAAAGTGAGTCATGTCAGCTTCCCTTGGTTAAATTTGGTCTCTTGGCACCAAGGATTTAGCTTAGTGACATAAATGCTGCCCTGCCAAGCACTAGGTCATGAGTGTGATCCCCCATACACACACACACACACACACACACACACACAGGCTCTTCCTCTACCAGAGCCATCACACCAAAAGTCCTCAAAAATACTAAAAGTCTGTAAATTGGCTTGAGAAGCTGACCCTAAGATAAAAGAGCAGGTTGAGCAAACCCAAACAATGCTTGAATTACCTATTAAATTTTTAAAAAGCCCATACCTGTAGAAAAGGCTAGTACCCTTCTGGGGATGGACTACATTTTCCTGAGGTTTCCAGCCCTTCAAGAGGAGCAGAAATGTTCCCAGTCCCAAACTGTAATGTCCCTCATTTCTCTGGCCACCTGCGCTCTACTCTTAAGTGGACCCTAAACCTTTCCTATGCCTCTTACTGACCATCTTGAAAAATTTTTCTCCAAAATGGGAATCAGTGAATGCTTCACAAAGAGTGGTTTTTTTTTAGTTCCTTATTTTAGCATCCAGAACCTCAGACCCAGCTCAGTGATGATTTCGTTTCTTATTCTGTGAGGTATCTCTGGAGAAGTCCTTATTCCTTAAATGGGGATTTGGTTTCCATGAGAAGCTTGTTCGTGGTTAGAGAGGCAGCCTCATGGCCTCAATAGGGCGATTGCTCCCTCTTAGCCGGAGGATCTCATTGTTACAGGCAGCTGAGTTAGTTAGAAATACTATAGGCAGTGAGACTGGGCTAGGTCCTCGAAGGAGTGAGTGCAAAAGCCCAAAACACCTTTCAACTATGGGGGAGACAGACACCTCCTGCTGTGGGCCAGGCCTCAAGACAAAAGATCAAGCAAATGCATCCACATCCTCAGAACTGATATTCTAAATAGTTCCCTGTCATCCTGAGGAAGTCAGGAGTCACCATTCCAACTTCCTATGGAGAAGTCACTGCTCTCTAAGAATGCCCACTTTCTCCCCAATTTAATCAATTTTACCTGAACAATTAATCTTATTGACTAACTATAGTTCAGTCCAACCTTATGCCCATCTGCCTTGTGAGTTCCCAGTTTTCTCCACCTTGAAACCATCTCACCCCATGATTTTACTAGTCCCTAGAAAAGACAGTCTTTGGCAACCCACTCAGGACTCCTGCTGTTTCTTTCTCAGACAGAAGCTTTCTTAATAAATATATTCTGCTCTTAACCTCTATTATGGATTAAGAACTGGTGGTCAACTTAACGCCAGCTGGATTACATCAGCATGGCGCTGAGTGTAGATGTTCTAGCTGAGGAAAGTTGCCAGCGTAAAGAGACATGGAGAAGAAGTTGTTGCGTTGAGATGTTGAGGCATTGTGGGTTCTCCTACGAGTTGCTGTTTGAGCCGTTGGTTCTCCTGGAGAACCTCTGGTCCTCACATCAAGCATTATCTCCTGGCTCCAGAGGGGAAGACATGTGCCACTTGGTCTCCAGGATGAACTCGTCACACTGGCTTCCTGGCAGGTACTCGACTGTGCTTGTCATTGGAGGAGCTTAGGGCCTCCATGTCGCTGAGGATGGCTATGGTGCTTTTCAGGACAGTCCTGGTCTTTGTTATGAGTGTGACTTCTCGGCTCCAGCGTAGAAACCTCAACCTATCAGCACAGCTTCTTCACCCTGCTGGCGTGGACTTCCTGTCTTTGAGCGCTGACCTTTGGGCCTTCCCAGCACGGATCCATAAAAGAGACTGGTGTGAGTCCTTGTGGGCTCTAGAACTTCAGTTGGACTCATGGGAGACATTGTCATGAGTTTTGGGTCTGCATCTGGACTCATGTGGGACATTGCTATGGGATTCAGGCCCTTTGCTAAACATTCTGTCTCTGATGTTGTGGATAGATTTCCTGCATTTCTTTGTGTTAACTCTGGGTGACCATCATAAAAAGAATATTAACATTTCCATGTCCTGATTTTAATTGTTCCCTGCACAACCTCTGACTACAACAACCTCCATTGTTTCTAAAATTCATTCTTCAATTTTAGAGAACATGAACACTTACGGACATATGGTAGGTTGGGAGTTTCATTCCCCTATATCACTAAGTTAGGTAGAAATATTATAAGTAGTCAGACCAACCTAGGCCTTTAAATGACTTAGTGCAGAAGATAAGAATTTACACATACAACTGTGGCTGGAGGTGTACGCATTGAAGACCAGGCCTTGGGATAAAAATGGAATGGCTAGACCAACATACTTCTTTGAGGGATAAGCAATGTACTATAATTGATATTGCCTGGTCCAGTAAAGTCTAGATATCAGCCACCCAGATAAGTGACCAGGAACTCGTGACTCATCTCTTCCAAAAGAGATCCTTGTTCTTTCCACTTACACTGGCTACGTAACTTGAGTCCCCACTGGATCAATATTGCGTCAGCAGCTATACTTGTAATCTTATTGGTGAATCATAGTTTCGTTCCACATTGTACTCACTTCATGATTTTGCTCTATAAAACTTCCTCCAAGAAGTGGGCTTGTTGGTAACCTACTTTCTGGGCCCCTTCTTGTCTCTCTCAGTAATGTCTTTTCCTCAAAATTTCCTGCTCTGAACCTCCATTGTTCCTCAAAATTCATTCTTCAATTTGGGGGAACATGAACTTGGCATATTGGGCATCTAGCAGGCTAAAAGTTAAATTTATTTTATTTCCTATATTATTTGGACCCTATATCCCTGGGATCACAGGCCTTTACCACCACACTCACAAGTTTTTAAACAGATATTCCTTATGTGATTAACACGTCCATGTGCAGAGCTGAGTAGAAAACTGACTCAAAACGCAATGTAATGAAGGGGACAGCTACAAAGAAAGGTGGACATGCCAAGGTTTTCCTGCCCATTGGGCATCGGTAAGCCCACATGAACAGTCAGGCATTTTTACCAAAAGGAGCCCCTAAGCCCGTGTTATAGTCCATTCATAGATTCCCACAAAGTCTCTTCTCTTGTCTTTTTTTTCTTTGTTGTCATAGGGTGGACTTGCATATTGCTTCTCTTTCCCTAGGGCAGAGGTTCCTTTAAGGATAGGTACTTCATCGTGTTGCCTATTTTTTCATCCCTGGGAGCAGTGCCTGGCATATAGTTAAAAGAACAAATGCTCTCAGCTAAGAAAATGAGGTGGGTCTGGTAGCGCATATGGAATTCTGGGAGGCTGATGCTGGATAATTACAGGTTTGAGCCCGTCCTGGGCCACTTAATGACTTAGCTAGACTTGTCTCAAAATAAAGACTGAGGAAGCAGCTCGTGTGAATCTCCCAGTTCAATCCCTAGTACCACACACACAGAAAGAGAAAGAAAGGAAAGAAAATGAAAATAAAGAACTATTCTGCTGGCAGCTAGACTCCGTGCTTCTAACGGAACATAAATAATGATCACAGATTATAAATAAATATCTGACAAGTCCACGCTGTATTTGGAACAAGACAGAGCAAGGCCATTCTGGTACTGCAAATATAACTCAACATCCTCCTCTTCAGACACAAGTAAGTGCTGCTGCTTTTCCAAAACAAATCTGCCTCTAATCCTCATGCCTCCTGGAGAAGAATTATTACAATACCTAATCATTGAATAGTTCTAGTTTCTTCATTGTGTCCCAGGCAAAAGCATTCCCTACTTCCTTGGTTATCTGGCACAAGCCAAACCCTATTTCTCTGGTGTGCATTCTTCCTTGTTGAACATGCTCAATCAATCAGTCAATCCATCAATGTAGCTAATAGCTATTTTCTGGTGTTAGGGCTTAAAGCCAGGGCCTTGCACATGCTTGACAGGCACTACCACTAAACTCTAGGCCACTAAAGCTAATTTGTTTGTTGTTGTTTTGTTTTGCTAATTTGTTTTGACTACAGGTAAGTAGGGATTTGATTGACAGGTTTTATTGCATTATTAGCTGTTACTTTCAGCTCATCCTGCAATATCTAGAAATAAAGATTTGAGGGCTTTTGTTCTGTTTTGTTTTGTTTGAGACAGGGCTTGCTATGTCACCCAGGCTGGTCTTGAATTTGGAACCTCAAGCAATCCCCTTCCTACTGGACCTACAGGAATGTGCCATCTCATAAAGTTTAAAGTCAAGAATTTTAAGGACTACCTGAAAGTTTCAGTGGTCATGAGCCACTTGATATGACTGTATGAAATTTAAAAGAGGGGCTGGGGATTTAGCTCCGTGGCATAAGTGCCTGCTTGGCAATCACAACGTTGTGAGTTCAATCCCCGATACTCAAAAACAAACAAAACACCAAAAATCTAAAAGAAAAAAGCAACTCTTGGGGGGAGAGAATAGAGTTTTGCCATATATTGTAGGCTGTCCTTGAGCTCATTATGTACTGTTAACTGGTCTTGAACTGGTGGTAATCCTCTTGCTTCAGTCTCTTGAGTGCTGCGATCACAAACATGTACCACCAAGCCCAGCTGCAAAAAGCAACTCTACAAAGGGCATTACAAAATGAATATGGAAAGTCATCAGGGGAATCAGCATTGACACAGGCATGAAGAAAATGACACAGTCCCAGCATGCAGGAGGATTGCAAGTTCAAGGCTAGGCTGTAGTACATAGTTCAAGGTTGGCCTGGGCTGCGTAGATTCTATCTCCAAACACACACACTCACACAGGACAAAACAAGAGTAAGAGGTAAAAAGAGAAATGAAAATGACTCAAGCATGTTAAGCTTTGAACTGAACTAAGGCCTGCAAAGCCATTAACATTTAGCATTGGAAGTTGTTGCTGAGCAATTGTCACAAGTAACCAAAAAACTTAACACCTAGAGATAACCTGAGCTGTCAGTCAGTCATGTGTAGCCTAGAGACATACAGCTTAAAGTTAGGGTAGCTTCTCTGCATCATCCACCTTTCTTCTCATGTATCTGTGGGATTTCCTTTGACCTCAGCTTCTCCCTCCCTTTCTTTCTTTCTTTTTCTTTTTTTTTTTTTGGTACTGGAGATTAAACTCATAACCTTGCACTTGCCAGGCAGATGCTTATGCTGCTGAACTAAACCCCCGGCCCTCTCCTTCCCTTTAAAAGATCTGTACACTCCACCTGGGCAAGGTGGTACGTGCTGTAATGCCAACAAGGATTTTAAATTAACTAATAAGGTTTCTATGTTTATCTGTGAGTCTGTCCCCTCATCTGAGACGGACAGTGCATTCATAGTAAGTAAACCTATATGGATCACTGGTCTTGGCTGAGACTTGTAGTGGCCTGTGATGCCAGAGATGTCTCAAAGAGCAAGGTAAAACCACAGCTGAGGACACTCTGGCTCCCACCCAGTTATCTAGAGGGAGACTGCAGCTGCAGTCACCTCACGATAAATGACATCATGCAGATAAGACAGTTCTCCTAAATTGGCATAATTTACTACTTGGAGAAGTCTTTGAAGTGACTTTCAAGGTCCTGCTCAGCTCCCACACTTTCCTCAATATCCCCTCTCTTTGGGGCACCCAGAGAAGCTCTGTGTCTCAGCCCCCAAAACTCTCAAACTCTGTTGGAGAGTTTTGATTCTTCGGGAGTCCTAAAATCATACTATTTGTTTCATTTAAGCCTTTGCTATATACTCGTTTGGGAGACTAGGGATCCTGGCCAGGATCTTAATACATAGGGAGGCTGAAAGAGGAGGCTTTCTTGAGGCCAGCCTGGGCTAGTGAGACCCTGTCTCAAAAAACAAAAAACAAAAGATCTGTGTACTCTGTGTATGGTGATATGAATGTAATTTTCCCATTTTTCTTTAGATGAACACTCAATTCTTACAGAAATGTATTTTTTCTTTAAAAATTTTAATTTTTATTAGTACATTTTTGCTGCACATAATGATTCTGTTCATCAAGGGAAGTTGGCGCCTGTACACAGCACAGCCTTGTTCTTTTTTCCTGCTCTTCCCCTCTCCTTCCTTCCTCTTCCTGCCATCTCTTGATCCCCTTCCCATTTGCAAAAGATCTATCTTCTTGTTTCCTATTATAATCTACTTTACTCTTTAATTTATTTATACCTTTGATTTCTCATATAAAAAAGCATGTAATCTGATTATGTATTTGATTTATTTCATTTAATATTACCATCTTTTTTTTAACATTATAGTCTTAAGGTGCATCCATTTTCCTACAGAAATTTATCCTTCTTTATGACACAGTACCACTCTATGCATACAAATACTACATTTTCTTTCTTTCTTTTTTTTTGGTCTTTTTCCTTTTTTATCAGTACAGGGATCAAACTCATGACTGCCTGCTTGCAAGGCAGGCACTTATGCCGCTGAGCTAAATCCCCAGCCCAAATACTACATTTTCTTTATCCATGCATGTATTGATGAACATATAGGCTGTTGCCAAGATTTAACTATTGTGAGTTGTGCTGCTATAAACATGGATATGCATGTATCACTGTGATATGGTATCTTTAATTCTTTTGGGAAGATATCTAGAAGGGGAATAGCTACGTTGAGTGGAATTCCTAGTTTTAGTTTTTTGAGGAATCTCCATACTGACCTCCATAGTGTACTACTGTGCATTCCTTCCAACAGCGTAGAAGGGTTCAGCCCTACCCTTGCAGCCTCGCTGGCAGGTTATTAGTTGATTTCCTGATGGCTGCTATTCTTTCTGGAGTAAGATGGAATCTCAGCATTATTTTAATTTGCATTTTTCGGAAGACCAAAGATGTTGAACATTGTTTATTGTATTTATTGGCTATTTGTACTTCATCTCAATTTTTGTATAAATTTAGAAAGAAACTTTATATCACTACTAAAATGGGAAATTGGCATTACTTGGTAGATATAAAATTACTGCTGGGAGCTGGGGGTTTAGCTCAGCGGTGTAATTCGCTTGTCTGGCAAGCACAAGGTTGTGAGTTCAATCCCCAGTACAAAAAAAAAAAAAAAAAAAAAAAAAAAAAAAAAAAGAAGATGCTGCCTAGAATT